CTCATATTTCTAAAACTCTGTGAAAGGTAAGGATGACTACGGCGTTTGTGGTGCAATCAGAACATGTGTTGAAGTTATTTTAACGCAATCCAAAGATGCCTTTTAAAAAACAAGTTTACATCATATTCTTATGCGTGCCAGTGCTGTGTGTGAGGTAATTTAAGGTGGTTCTGACAAGTGTCGTCAGCATCTTCATATCCGGTCCTATGGGCGGCAAGCCACTCCCATCCGGTCACATGGGCGGCAAGCAACTCCCACAAAGGAGGCCACACCCACAGAGTAGGTTCGAACAATTTTTGAAACCCACCACTGCTCCTAGTTCAACTCCTAATCTAGAGCCCCGAGTGACTATTTAATTATTTCTAATCATCATCACACATGGTTGGTATATATTAAATTCCATGGTTCCCATACAAGAGTGATTTCTATTTCTGTATCTTTTAATGTATTTATTGTCAAAATCTCCAGGGAAAAAAGTAGAAATGCACAATTCCTGGGAACTGTAGTAATATAAATTAAATCTATGCCTATCCAATAACAATTTCTGCAAATCATCAAACATTCCTATTGATAATGACACTTGTATAATCAGTCACTTTATAGAATGTACATCCAACCATTTCCTACTAAGGATTAGAGTATAAGACTTCTGGAACATCATCATCTCTGAGATGAGAGCAGGGTGGGCTTCAAATTTTTTAGCAAGGGGTTCTCTGCCTGGTTGTTGGGTGGGTGTGGCCATGGTGGGCATGGCCTAGTCCTGCACCACAGCCAGGGGGGTTGCCTCCCTGGGTTCCAGAGGCTTTCCTCGAGCTTCTGGCAGAGGTGGGTTCCTACCAGTACAGTAGTAACTTCAACACGTGGTTCTATCCTTGGCAGCACCATCTTGATTTTCTGTTCTACACATGCACAGAACAATCTTCATTGAAAAAATACAAATTTGGGGGGGGTGCAAAATTTTTCAAGCACCAAACTGGTAGTAATGGCGGCAGGAACCCACCCGGCCTCCGGAAGGGTGAAAACAGGCTCCCCGGGTTCCAAAGGCCCTATGGAGACCAGAAACGGGCCCGTTTCCAGCCTTCCAAACTTTCGGTAGCCCTGTTTTTCCCTCCCCAAGCCTCTGTGCACACCCTGCACTTACCTGCATCCAAAACAGGCCACATGGGGACTCCTGGGAGGGGCAGAGTGGGCGGGGCCAGCCAGGAGTGGGATTTGGGGGTTCTCCAAACTGCACAGAATCTTACAGGTTCTCCCAAACCCCAGCAGCCCACCTCTGGATGAGAGTATTCCTCAAAACATGCTCCCCTCCCATCAGTTCTGGGGATCCCCTGGCAGAAAAGATCCTACACATGTGCTGTGTGCTGCCCAGAGTCACCTTGTAGAAGATGTGCAGCCATATAAATTTGAAAATTAAATAAATAAACAAATAGCACAGCTATTATCTCCAAATAGTTTCTTATTGGATACTGCCTACTCCGTAGTATCATCCAACCTGATAACCTTATTTGCCATTAAGGCTGTGTTATGAATTCCATAAATTGCTGTTAAATTTTATTTTTTTAAAAATAAACCTTACAACATGTATTACTATCAACATCAAGAAATCATTTCAGATATATTACAAATCATTATATAAGAATAATTTGGTAGCCAAGTTGTAATTTTTAAACAATCCTGATTCCTCTAGAAATGCAGATAATCCCATTCTAGAAAAAATTAGGCTGCCTTACAGTATAATTAATATAAATATGTTCTAATATATAATGCCATTAGATTATTTTAGTCTTACCTTCTTATCTTATTGAATATTTCGGTTTTCATAGGCAATAGGACTTCTTTCTGTAAAGAATATCTGTCATCTTCTCATACCAAGGTAATTCAAAAATGTGAGAGAAAAATGATTAAAACAGTAAATGCAAGAAACCAAACAACATTGTAGAAATCGTGCCAGTACCATCTTTACAACAATACTGATTTGGCATTTATCTTCTTATAGTTCACACAATAGCCTGGCAACCAAAACCTTTAGAAGAAATCCAACAATCCAGTCTGATTATACCTAGCAACAGTTTCACTCATCTTCCTACTCAGATAATTGAAACTGATTATAAAAGTGCTGGGTTACAATTCAGTAAAATTTAGAGGGCTAAAGATTCTTTATTCTTGCAGTGGGAATTGAAGATTCTACTCTACTACATTATGGAATCATGTCATACTCATTTCTTCAAATTATGATCATTTGTTCAGCAACCGTTTGAAGCTACAGTGGTGCTGAACAAAGGGAGTTATATAATCTGTAATCATAGTTAGGGCTATTGCATAGAAGTGGGTTGCTTCTGGTTCTGTCCAGATCGGGCAAATCAGTAGTAGCGGCAGCGGCTATGCCTACCCGCCCGGATGCACTCTCATAGGCGGGAAGTATCATCATGTTTATTCATGTTGTGGGGGGATTTTTCTATTTTGATTGCTTCCATAATTATTCTCTTGTTTTTTACGGCCTGGGTGGTGAGTAGGGCTCATTTGTTGACTAGGGTTGGTTTCCAGATGTGTAAGCTCTCGAAATAGATAAACACCCCCACAATATGAATAAACGTGACGATACCTCCCGCCTACCATACATCTGGAAACCAGCCCTAGTCAACAAATGAGCCCCACCCATCACCCAGGCCGTTACAACACAAAACAACAATGGACACACAGCCAGCACCAATCAGCACCAATCTACCAATCATGGTACAACCACACAGCCAATCAATCCACTTACTGAAACAAAGCCAGCACTCCACACACCCCCACCAAGATTTATAGAAAGACGGCAGCTCCGATTACACTTTAAGCCCAAAACCCAGCCTGAAGATGGCGAGTGAGACCTCGCCGAAACGTTGCCAAGACAATTTCAATCTTACATGGGAAAAGACCCAAATACAACATATATATATATATATATATATATATAT